GAATCTATCAATGCGTTGATCTCACAACCCAAACAATTAACAATGAAAATGGAGATAGTTGCGGTACTTACTAGCATTCACTTGCGATTTGATCAGATCCAAATTCACACGATCAAACAGCTTGATGAGATTCTCGAGTGCTTTCGAAATCTGTGCAATATGAAAATTATAAGAAAATTTTAACAAAAATTGTTCTGTCAAGTGGTGTATTCAGATGAAGCAATTATAGAGATTTACATTCAAGGGCACCGCAACATGCAAGTCAGACTGCTCCTTGTTTTCCTCTTCCTCCCTCTCTTTTCCTCTTCCTCGTCTTCCCCTCTTTCCCTTAGTTCTGTTTTTAATCCTACCTGTTATATCTTCAAAATTTGATCCGATATTGCTCAAAAGGATGGAGAGATAGAGCAGAGATACTGGGAAGGAGATCTATAGCGCAGGAGGTGGAGGTCCTTCGAGTCCTACAACTGTCGCAAAGAGACACAAACGCTTTAGAAGTAGTGACCCGAGTTTCGATAGGGAACCTCGTCCAGGACGACCAGAAGCCCTTGAGAACAAAGACTTTGACCAGGTCCGGAACTTTGAAGATTGATGATAGAAGTTTGTAGAAGCTGATGCCCTTTATCTTGGGGAGTGCCTGTTGTCAATTTTTTTCCCGAATCTATGTAAGAAACTTGATTTTCCAATGGGTATCATGGAACTTTTTTTCTCAAATCACCCTTTTACAACACTATAATATAACCTCAAGTTTGCTAGTTTTCTCCTTTGCCGAAATCACTTTGTCACGGAATCTGTTATGCCATTCATCGATCAGCGCCTTGATCTGGAATTATAAATAATTTTTGTTTGTGGTTGACTGCTTGCGAGAAGATAACTTTCTTACCTCGTGCATGTCACGCGAATCTTTGCTCTCGCCCAGCGTCGCAAGAATCTGCTCAAGTTTCTGCGTTTGCGCTTTTATCATACGTTCCACGCATGCTCCAGGATGGCGGAGATTCTTAACAGAAAACTGCTGCCTAAGAAGTCTCAATTCAATTTTAATTCCAAACATAGCGACTTCTCTTTCATTAATGAGCCGCCTCTTTAGTGAACGAAATAATAGGTTTGTTCAAAGAGGCGAGCAACTGCGTCAGTAAGTCCTTTCAGGAGGTGCCACACTCGCGATCTATCTAGGTGTTGCAGAGGCACTGTTGAAAAGCTGGGAAAGCTTACAAGCAGTCTGAACTCAACTCCAAGCGTCCATTGACCACGTAGCTCCCTCTACCGTCTGATCTGTTATCCATTCTCAAACCAGCGCTTATCTGAGCAAGAGGTAGGGGTACAAAAGGGTGCTGCTCAACAAAGAAGCGGTGCCACAAAAAAGTCACAGCGGATGTCACCATGCGCGACCTGCACCGCGACCGCTCGAAGCACACAACACGCACATGCGAGGGTGCATTTGTGTGGCCGAGTTACTTTTATGGTTAGGGAAAAAACGCTTCACACTCATCTTCAGCGTTTTCATGCTGGTAGCAAATTTGTATTCATGGTGATTTTGAAAACTTTAAGTCGGGGGGAGGGGTGGAGTAGATGAAGTGGCGCGCTATAGCGCGCGGTCGCGAGATCGAAATCCTGTGGCGCTCGGCCACGGGCTGACCGACCCTTCCATCCCTCCAGGGTCGGTTAGATGGTACCAGGCTCTTCTGGGGGATAAAAATACTAACGCTGACATCGGCTGGCCCCCGCTATTCTAGTATTCCTAATTCGCATTTCACGGCATACGATATGTACAAATGGATAGTAGAATGGGGTGGCGCTCCAAAAAGGGATTTGACAGCGGCATATATCCCATTATTTCCAATAAGGGGAGGGTAGGGGGTGCAGCACGTGCCGTCTACAGTAGTCTAAATCTTTGCGCAGGAATAAGATTCCGGGGTAAGCCTTGAAGCGGAAGCAAATGGTCCACGCACTCCGAGGATTTCGCTCCCCTGCAAATATTGGATTTTCTGCAAGCGGAGCCAACCATCGCACCACTTGCCTTCCTCGCATCAAAATAGCCCCCATTTGCATTCTATTTTCCTAGTTATCAATACGAACGGAAGCCCGGTGGTTCGCGCACCAGGTTGGGATGGTCGAAAGCCTTCCATGCTGATTCATTCAGGCCACTGCTATGGTTAGCCTTGGATAGCCCCGCCCACAGCCTCAGCTTGAGCTTTGAGATTAACGCTGTTATTTTCGAATTAAATAATGACACATCTTTGCTAGCCTACCTTACGCTTGTTTTCTTTGCCGACAAAAATTACTGGAGCTGAGTGACAATGTCTCCATTTGCTGGGTCATCATCGTCATTTATCATTTCCAATGGCCGCCTGAATCCGGACGCTTTTGGATTCGCCGGTGCGACTGCACCGGAAACCACCGGCCCAGACGACACCACCACGACCGGTTCCTTCAGCACGAGCGGCCTGAATGCGAGACTGAATAAGGCAGATCAAAACTACATATAGTAATAAAATGACTTTAGTTATTTACCTGTCCAGCTCGCAAGAAACTATTCAAAGCCTCGCGAGCAGTGTCACCAGTAGAGTAAGCGTCAAGTGCTTATGCCTTTATCGTGCCTTACATACTGTTTGTATTTTGTAATGCATGCGCAAACGCTTCATCATGGGATTTCACAGACGATGGACCTCGATGTTGTTGTTCATTGGATGGTTCTGGCGCTTGGTGCACATTCACCACCAAAACGCCCTCCTTCGTGGAAATAGCCTGAAGAAATCTGCAAAATTGTCCAAGTACTATTTTCGACCTCGTTAGAGAATTTTTCAAAGCATTTTTTAAGGCAGTCGTAAGTAAAATGTGAATTTTATGGTGGATGTGTTTTTCAAACATTATGATTACGTTGAAGGAGGGTTCCACTGTAAGGTCAAAGATGAAAGAAGGGGAAACATACAAAGTGGACCAAGTGGGACCCCCTAGGGCTGCAGATCCACACGACTCGGCTAGCGAAGAGTATGCTTCCGGCGTAATACATGCTGCCCCAGCATCACAACGCTTTGGATGATACGCATCGGCTGGCTACTCACTCGCGCAGGTCTCACAGTCGTTTTAGCAGCGGAAAGTGAATAGCCGTTGCAAGAGTGCAGCCGCTAATGAGAGTAACACCAAGGTGAAATCAACGGGACAAAAAAGGGGTCTTTTCCTTGGACTTTCGGGACTTTTCCTCCTATTTTCTTTATCCCGTTCACTGATCACTTCACTTCCTTATTTTGTTATGCGCGCCGCCTTTCTCTATAAAGGCGTTCTATGACCTGAAAAGTGTGCAGGTAATACGAAATAAATCAACGAAACTTCGAACCCTTCGCAATTTCTGGTCATGGGTCAAATGCTTGAAATTCCCCTGTTGTTGGTTAGCTCATTTATCCTAGAGGCAGTGATCATGATGGCAGAAGGGTGGTACGGTGATAACGTCATTGGTGGACAGGACCCCTCATGGCACTGTAGGTGCAGTCGGGACCACCTCCTAGAGCGCTTCCATCAATGATCAATGACTTCATCAACACTAGCACCTTTTTCAGCCATCTCAATGTCTTCAGATGCATACCACGCTTCTCCATACTAGTGTGATCGTGCACAAAAATATGAGAACAAGGGTGTGAAGTGGACCGATACTCAAGAAAAAAAAAGAAAGGAATCTGTCGAAAGCACTGAGAATCATGGGCTTTTTGAGGTTTATAATTCGGCAGTCACAAGGCAATGACACTGAGTGCGGAAGAGGAGAGGACATGCGAGATGAACACAACGTGAGTAGGTGTGCAGACGCTCGACTGATAGATGAAAGAAAAGTGGGCGCGGTCGTAAACGCTGGTAAACGCCTATCTGGCGAGAGCGGAGCAATATGTTCTTCCAGGCACTTTCTAGCAGGAGGGCTCCATCGTACCTTGGGTGGAGTGTTTATTCCATGTCAGCAAGCAACATAGGATTTAATTACCTGAACACCAGTGGCCTTGTGCCTTTGAAACAGAAACTTTACAATTTAATATTAGTTCTTTTTATTTCCAGAATAGTTTAAGAACGGCTTTTGAAACGATTCTCGAACGGCTGTTTTCATGTAAATGGATAATCCTTGGCCAACCTTGGTGTTATCATCAGGGAACGACAGCTTCGGCTTCGTGGCAAGTGTTAGTGATCCGTCCTCTTCGGTTAATTCGGCTGTATTTTTGCCCTGTCGATGAGATTTGTCACCAAAGCGTACCTGAACAGCGACTTACTGCTTCCTCATTCAATTTTCTGACTCCCAATAGAAAAAATCTACTTACTCTTGAATATTCCTCACGATTAGGAACCGGATTGCTCACCATTCCAACATCTTCTTCAGGCATTTCGAAATCACTTGGCTGATTAGAAGTAATGCGAACATTCACGTTACCTGCCGCTACTGCTGCAAAAGTGCTACTTCAAGGGTGAATTAGAATTTTTTGATTACACAAAGTAGTTTTATTCAAGATAACGAGATTTTTCCTCATATGTGTTGGAATTGAAAAATTTGGGAAATTCGCATGGTTCTTCGACAATTATCTTGAATATTTGATGCTGCTATATTTGAGGTTTCAAAAGAAAGTTCCAGATGCCGAACCGATGGAGAGAATTCTTGGAAACTAATCTATTTTTCATCTCACACAATCATTGCACATACTTAATTCATAGTATTCTGAAAGGGTACCTGTCAGGAGGCCCGTCGAGCGGCAAGAAGGCATAGTCAGCGGACGAGTCGCAGCGCGCACTGTAGGGTTTCGCGTCAAGTTAAATAGAATGTCCCATTGTACGTCCTACATCGCACATACGCGCTGCGACTCGTCCGCTGACTCTGCCTTCTTGCCGCGCGACGGGCCTCCTGTCGGGTACCCATTCGGAAATCGTATGCTTGCTTATATTGTATTTCATATGAAATTATTAGAAAAAATCAATATGAAAGTAAAGTTAAAGTCTGAAAACATTTCAATCTGTTTGAGCTCCAAAGTTTCTTCTATTATTAATCCGCTGATTTATAAGCATTTTCTCTGCATTACCATGTTCTCACTCCCTTTACATTAATGCAGCTTGTTAGGAATAGTTCAATTTAGCAATAGTTTAAATTTTTCTAATCATAATGAAAGATTTTGATAATTTTTAATTGAATAATAGTTCAAATTGTTGATGGATTTTGAAAATCTTTTCAAAGTAGAAGCACAAATCTATTCACTCAAGTATATCTCAGCTTTCTTCTTCTTTCTTCATATTTCTAAATCAGTGTTTTTCCTCCAATCCAATTATTTTCTTTCTATATGTGAATTATACGATGTCTGTGATGTCTGTCGTTCTGTATGTCTGTCACGAAATTTCCCTAGCTCCTCGGATGCCTGGAGGGACCGGGTCAAGTGTGGGATGGGTGGGCAAGGTCTCACGAAATACAAAACACACATCAGCTAAGCGGAGCCCCGCCCACAGTGGGCGTGGCGTGCGTCGAAATGAACTGTACTGAAGACCAAGATTTCGATTTCAGTGACAAAACGACCTCGAAACTAGGGAAAGCCCAAAAGTGGGTAAAGGTGTGCATTGGAAAGTCACACCGAAATAGGGAGCCCCACCCACGTGGGCGGGGCGTTCTCCAAACAAGCAGTGCTTTATGAAAAAATTCATAACTCGGTTTGGAGTGAGTCTATAGTTCAAAGAGAAAGTCGGTGTAGGGGAGCAATGTCTAAGGTGCATCCAGTATGCCTGACGTTGGCGGAGGCCCGCCCACTATGGGCGGAGCGTGCTCTGAAGTGTACAGCGTTTTCTACAAGCCCTCATAATTCGGGTCGGTGAAGTTTTAGGGAGTCCGGAAAAAGGTGGATAGAGGTGGGTGAAGGAGTGGAGGTCAGCTGTCGTCGGGGCGGGGCATGACCAAAGTGGGCGGAGTTTATTGAGTTTGTCAACGGAAGGGAGGTCAACCGCTATTTGTGGGTTGAGCGTACGTTGAAGTAGACGTGTTTGTCACGTGATATTACAGAGGTTGAAGAGAGCACAGAGGCTGGGAAAGTGGGTAAAGGTTGGCGAAGGAATGGGGTCAAATGCTATTTGTGGGCGCCAAGGATTTGCGGAGTTTCCCACGGTGAACTATAAAAATATCGATGGCCCTGTTTCCTTTCAGTGCAGTCCCGTGTGATGCACGCGAATGCGTGCGCCGCTAAACTGGTTTTTATATAATTTTTTCCAAATATCCAAATATAACGACAGAACCCACATTCGGCATTATCTGAGTCGTATCCTCCTTTGGCGACCTCTTTGAACCGAACGTTCACATTTCCGCTGCCCACCGATGACGGATTAAAACTTATCCTGTGGTTGTATCGCGAAGGTACTGGCGAAACAGTAACTGGCAGACCTTTCTGTAGGTCAAAAATATTATCACATATGTATAAATACTAAATTAACTGATTGGTTGCAACAAAGTAATCACCCGGCAATCATCTGCTTTTTTCCTCATCTCGAGACGAATATCTTGCACCATTTTCGCCAGTGAAGAATCGGTAGTTAGGAAGAGCATCTGAATGTATTATAATTCCTTAATCAAAGGCAGAATTTACGATGAAAAGTAGCTCATTGGAAATAAGGGTAGAGGTGGTCAGTGGAGCAGGGATGAAGAAGAAACCATTTGAAACGGCCTGAAACCCGAGAAATGGGACCCTTCCTTGCCCGTTGATTTGCGCATTGATGCGACTCTCATCGCTGTGCCCTCTTCAACACTACGCTCTCTGCTATCTAATCACTCGCCACGTGTAGACTAGATAGTCGGTGGGCCTACCACACCAATCGCGCCAAGAGTGAGCCATGCCAGACCGCCGAGGTCAAATCTTTTGCTTCCAATCGCGCGTCGATCAGCACCCTCAGGAGGTCCGCATGCCTTCAAACTATATAATTTCATCGTACTTCGTTCTATATCGTGAGATTCTTCTTTTTGAAGACTATTCTAGGCGCAACTTTCGCATGACTTTTCCCACACACAATGATATTTGGTGCGTGAAGCTAATATCCTTCTATTTTATAAAGCGCTAACTTTGTGTGTCGGTTTGTATGTCTGTATGTGTGTGTATGTATGTATGTATGTATGTATGTATGTATGTATGTATGTATGTATGTATGTATGTATGTATGTATGTATGTATGTATGTATGTATGTATGTGTGTCCGTCCGCAAAATGAAGTGAGTGAGAAGGAAGCTCATGGGATAAACAAACCGCTAACAAATCGGGTAGCTTACAGGATTTGAGATATCAATGTTTTGTAGCAGGATAGTTGTGATAACACTCTTAGGGCTATATAAACACCTGCTTAGCACACTTCCGTTCATTCCACATGGTGCTGCAGTGGCAGCTGGAGGGCAGTGGAGAGAGGAAGGGAGGATGAGGAAGGGAAGCGAAAAATCTACCGTCATATCATGATTGTGTCCCTTCTACTGTATGAAACACCATTGTGTTGCATACGCGTCACTTCCAGGAGGTGTTGGTGTCACAGGAGGAAGGGACCATAGCGGAGGATAGAAAGCTTGCGCAGGAAAGGAAGGTCCCGGCGGTTGACGGGGGACTAATCTGGTAATATAAAAAGGGATAGTGGACTGTGGGCGGCTGATTGATGGGCAACATTGTTCGTTCGAAAGTCCGCTTGCTATAAACTGGAGATACTGAAGCTCGATGTCTCTGCTTTTGTCGATCTGTCAATTTCTTTTGAATCACCCACGTCGTTCCATGGGTGCGAAGTTAATGAAATGGCAAATGGCGCCTCATACCACGCACGCTGCTGGTGGTCCAATCCCGGATCGACATTCTCCAGCCCAATCAAGTCTCTCATACCTACTCGGCAAAGTCGTTAGACGTCAAGCCAATGGGTGTACATGTGGTCAACAGAGGCGTACGCTTTGAAAGCACAACAACTGAAACGCTGATCGAATCAATGAAAACCACGAGTTTAGTTCCTAAGAGCCAGCCCCTTCTTGAGTGAGAAGTAGGGGTCCTTAAAGGCAAAGTTCGGGCTCAGACCCACTTAATGAGCCTTTACGGTGGCTA